TTGGTTCGAAAGATACAAAAACAAAAAAGTTTGAATTTGCGTTTGCTAAATTGACTGAATTGTTGTGAGATGTGCAACATACACGGCTGGCGTCTGCTGCGTAGCGTCCGAATAGTGGACGCTGTGGCCATTCTACTCCAAAGCTGTCGTTCACCTGTAGCAAATTACGCATGTGAGATGTTAAATGGTATCTTTTTGCATAAGGGTTCGATTTAGCCAATAAGAGAACAAAAAAAATCCTTCTACAATTCCTTGATTCATTCCTTTTGATGGTAGACTAGTAATGAAACATATCAGGAAGACGAAACTACAAAAATTTTGCCTTTTAAAGAGGAAGCTATCAACAGCGATTTCGGACTGTTCCTGTCAAATCAGTTTAGAAGCGATTTCAGACTTTGTCGTTCATAATAAATGATGATATTTTGGTATTTTGCATACTAGTAGGTCGGAAATAAAGAAGTAAAAGTTGAATATGAGTGCAGGAAGCGTTAATTGTAGACAAAACATATCAAAAAGGTTAGAATAGAGAATGAAGAAGAGTAACTGAAGAGGAACGTTCCTGTCCATTAGTTTGCATATATTCCTATTCAGCACCACAACTGAACCTCGTCAGTACAACAATATTGTTGAAGTTCTCAGAGAATCCATACGGAGACGAAAGTATGTACCCACCAGCCTTCCATCGCTTGTTTCACGCACCACGTAGCTCGGCGGAATCGGACTCTCAATCTGTGCCAGTGGCTCGTAACCCCTAAAGCCAAATGCTCATAGTCGTTCTACAAACAAGTTCCAGCTTTTCTTGCCGCTTATCAAAGTTCTTTTTGAGAGATCGAGTACTTTAGCAGAGCGATGGCACCGATCCAGTAAGACGTCTTTTTGTTTTCGAAAACTGATTTCGTCCTAATTTCCAGGAAAATAATGGGAGTGGAGAAAAAGTGTGACAGTAGCATTGTGAAGAAGGGATTCAAAAAAGTGGCTATTAGGGCTGTATACTAGATTGACCCCAGCAACCACGAAAGATAATCGGCTCGCCACGATTTAGTCACAGTTGACTGGAACAAAATAAGTACTGTGTGAATGCCCATCAAAAATTACTGGAGCATTCTGTTTCAGTGTATTTGTGCTTTATCAAATTTGCTGCATAAATTATTTTCCGAAAAAATTTGAGACACGAAATATTTTATCCTGCTGTTTTAAAAGCACATATTTCTTGCAGTAGTGGTATATTGGCTAAAAATGCCGAGTGCATATAGCAAGTAGCGATTGCGAACCTCACGCTGACTCTTCGCCATCTTTCCTTCTCCTTCCATACTCTTTCTCTGCCACGTCTCGGCGACGCGGGCATTCTTGGGGACTAAAATGTGCAAATTATGGCCGTCAACAAAATGCGCCAGCTTTTATAATGTGAATTTGAGCAATGAATTGCCATTTTACATAATATTTCGCATCGGGAGGAGTACGTTTTCTAGCGCGCTGCGCTGCAACAAATACCCAGTGTTGCTGAAGCTAACTGATTGGCCGGTTTCTCCGCTCTGGTACTCCTGATTATTTGATCAGTGAAATACTGCCCTCCATTCTGCTCCTCCGATTTTAAATAATCAGTGATTTCGACTTGCAAAATTAGACGACCGGAGGTGTGGAGGTATGCTTTTATCTTCGTTAGGTTTCCCAGAGAAGGCAGGCAGCTTAGCCAGAAAACTGATATTTATGAACTCCCATAACGCCTCCTCCTTCTCGGCCTCTTTTCCATTATCCGTCCTGGTACCGTCTGTTATCAACTTGCTTTTTGCGAAACACCATACAGCTTCTCCCTAAACTGCCACACCCAGCCATCCCCTGATCGGGATGGTTTCTCATTAACTTGCTAAATGTCTGGACAGCTTTTCTGAAGACCTTGTCTTTCCTTTCATCATTTCTCTTTTCCACTGAATTTTTGTGATTTCGAATTTCTCATTGGTATAAATTCTGACGCGAATTACGATTACAAGGCATACCTTCAATCATAATAAAGTGAAAGGCTACTGCTGATCTGGATCAGATAAATCTGAATTTTATTAAAGTTCGTAGCGTAATTCGCAGTTCGTAGCATAATCCGCGTTGGGTGATCATTAAATGCATTTTCGGTTTGGAGCACTTACTTAAACGACTTGGCTACAATTGTTAACGCCTCGTTGCTCAGCTCCTGTTGCCCATTAGATTCTAAATTTCAACCAATATAACACTTCCGCCCATATACCATCACACTTTTTCATTTCCTACCTCCAAGCAAGAACTCCTACCTTTTCGGTAAATAGCCCGGTCCCTCAACCTCCCCTTTGTCCTTTCGTTGCAGTTTTTCGCTAATATTTGTTCTGGTAAGCCATTCTCAGAAGCATCGATGCACCAGTGCAGCAGGCGTAGTATTGTTTGTGTTTTCGCAGTTAATTACCCATTTCCAAGTACAATTCATTTCTCCTCAATAACATTAAATGATCGATTCCAACTATGCTCCCTCCGACCAAGCGATCTCAGTGTTAAGTCGTAGTGTTAGCTGTGCTGTTGCTTTCGATCTTCGCTCCTTCCTTTCATCTCTTGCCAGTTTCTTGTAAGCCTAACATCATCAATTACGTGCTGCTTTTGTTCGGCTGAAATTTTAAAATTTTTAATTTTATCACTTCATTTGTGATACATCCATCTTAGCGCCTTCCAACCACCTATGAACATTCCGGATTTACGTTATCGAGTGTTCCAGTTTCGACCAGAGACTCAGTTGTCAGTGAGTTGCAAGCAGGTGCCACACTTTTTCATTGCCCTGGTACTATAGTTGGATGGTTTCTCGAGCCGGCTGTTCTAACAGTTGTCTGTAGTACAAAGACCTACCTAGTTTAATGCTCCCTAAAGAAAGCTGCGTCGT